TCGCACATCAGTGAGGAGTTCATGATATAGTAATTTACATGTATGTATATGTACCGAACATCAGTGAGGAGTTCACGATATAGTAATATACATGTATGTATATGTACCAAACATCAGTGAGGAGTTCATGATATAGTAATATACAAGTATGTATATGTACCGAACAACAGTGAGTAGATCACGATATAGTAATATACATGTAGTTCAACTAGTCACCTCCTTCGGGACAGATTTAAATCCTTTGTTTATACAATGTACTGAGGACTGCTAAATGGGGTTAAAAAATCTGATTATCAAGACTTTCCTGGTATATGTCTATTTGCATTGTAGTTTTCTATCAAGGAATGTGTGTCTCTTTATAGATTCCCTACAAAACTCTAGTCGTCGTGTCCCGTCCATTTCCAGGCCAGTGGAGTATTTAATGACAACAGGAAACCTCTTGTCTCGGACTGGTCTAGGACTGATGCAGGTACGCAAACGATGCTTTATAGAACATCTAGTGTATATGGGTAGTAACTGGTCAAGTAGGACCTCTACTTTAACTGTATTTATTAGTTCCCCACCAGTTCCCGGGGGGGACTATAGGTTTGCAATCTGTCCTTCTTTCCGTCCTTCCATTCCCCCCAATGAAGTTTGTCCTGGGCATATCTTCTATACTATTTCACCTGGAGTAACCAGATTTGGTGTACAAGGACATCTTGGGATGGCTGAGTGCAGAGTGCAAGAAAAAGGTCACTATGACATCTCTGTGACCTACATGTATGCTTTGACATTTGACCTTAACTTTTGAAAATGTTTGTCTGGGGCATATCTTCTATACTTTTTCACCTGGAGCAACCATATTTGGTGTACAAGGACATCTTGGGATGACGGAGTGCAGAGTGTAAGAATTACGTAACTGTGACCTATGACTTGACCTTTCATTTTTACTTTTAAAAATGTTTGTCCGAGACATATCTTCTATACTATTTCACCTGGAGTAACCAGATGTGGTGTACAAGGACATCTATGGATGGTGGAGTACAAGAAGTATGTATAAGGATACTTTCCTAACAGTAGGCACATCCTGACGTAAGTGTACTGTTTCTTAAATAGAGAAATCATTGCCGGTGGGGGACTATGGAGATTGCCTTGCAATATAACCTCAGAATCTGCTATCGTTTTCTTCTTTTTTCTAATAATATTCCACACAGAAAATTAAAGATGGATAAAAATGTAGAGAATGGCTGTTTCATGTAGCAATTTTGTATATTTTACCATGTAGTGCTAGGTCATGAATCTTTAAGATATAAGCTACATTATTTTGGGGCACTCAGTTAAACTCTCATATCATTTAACTGAGTTTTGGCATATCCATTCAAAATTATTTGTTTTAATTTAATAATTTCTCATTTTTCATCCCCAAAATTCTTAACTAAGGGTTTTAAGTTTGAGCTATTTGCAACCTAATTCTCATAAGCTAGTGTATCACACAACTAGATACAATGAGCGTGGGAATTGGGGACAATTTTACAAAACATAATTATTGTAAACCTCATTCGGACTTACTAAAGCTCATCAAGCTGCAACGAAGTGAGGTTTATGAACAAGTTTAATATTTACATATTTATGCCAATTCATTTTCACAATACATAATATTATTCCTTATTCGGGCCTGGTAGCTCAGCAAGCTGCACCGAGATGAGGAATAGTATGACAATTAACTAATGCCAAAACTAAATTACATTTATAACCATATTAAAGCCTATTCCCCATTCAGACCTGGTAGCTCATCAAGCTACACTGAGATGGGGAATATAATACATGTAGTGCAGGCATTCTCTTCTTCCGGTTTACCGCTACGCCAAGTACCGCTCCATTCGCCTTGCAGTACCACATCCTGTCTGGTATATACGGTCCGCTAGCTGATTGGTTGAGGAGTCGATAGCTTCACATTTTGTGAACAATCAATCTTACCTGACACACTCAGGTGAAGGAATGTTCACCATGCATACATGTTTTAGTACATAGTCACTGAGTTGCCCCTTTTGCCATTTTTTTTTTGTTTATTGTGTTTTAATATATATATGTTTGTATTTTATTTTGTGTTGTGTGGATGGAGATTGAATTTGAAATGTTTGTAATAAATATGTAGTTAAATGTCACTTTATCTTCTAGTCATTTGTTCAGTTTAAACATTGATTATGTGCTTGTACCTTCAGGTATCTGGTCTGACCATTGTTGCGGACAAGCTGAACTTTCTGCGATACATTTCACACTTCCGATGTATACATAGAGGCTCGTTCTTCGCGGAGATGAGAACCACCGCCGTCAGAAAAATGTTACCAGAATCCTGGGGTAGATAATACATCTGAACTGTTGCTAAATAATATTTTGATAAAGAAGAATTATTTGAAGAAAGAAAGAACTAGTAGTTAGCTAGGATTTTTAAAATATCTTTTTATTATACATTAGTTTCTGAATGCAGAAAACTGAGGCACAGATTTTAAGTTTCTTTTCTTATATATTGAAATTCTTAATCCTTCGCTACCATTATATGTTTTTTCACAAAAATAATCGTGTAACAACATATGTTTCCTTTGGTGACCTTAAATATTTCTATTCCATGTTGTAAGATGATAAATATTCTTCAGACAGTTTGATGTGATGTTTCAGGATTTATTTGTCCCGTACACACCCCTGACGGTACTCCCTGTGGCCTGATGAATCACATGACGGCCCTCTGCAAGGTATACTGTAGTGTGACAGTTTTCTGACAATATCAAACAACAACGTTTTCTTTGACTGCTCTATCAATCACACTGAAAGATATACATAAGAACGCTCAAATTATGACATCATTGATCAAGAAAGGTGTAACATTAGTAGTCAAGTCGAGGGTCAAATAAGTGCTTAATTTCTTTTCTTGAAGTAAAATGCTTATAACAAAAACTTTAAAACAGTTAAAAAAACAATATGAATATCAAGAGGAAATATATTGTTTTCATTCTGTTATCTGGTGGGGAGTATCAAACTTTGTTCTGGTAACTTGCCCAGACTTATTTTCTTGTTAAATTTTTACTTTCACTATATTCATACATAAATAAATATTTATTGGTTTAATATGGACCTTTTTAGGATTTCCAGGTAATCATGCTGGAAAATATCAGTATGTAACTTATATCATGACCAGTAGTGTTGTACAAAAAAAACCACTGTTTTGTAATCAAGGGGTCTGCATGGAGATTAAATCCTTGTTATGAAAGAGATTTTCTTTGTGAAGGAAGAAAGATGTAATCAAGAAATGATTGTGTACATACCTCGTTGCTGATAGTAAATTGGAAAGTGTAATGTAAGAGTTATAATCAAGGGATAATTTAGGTATGTATTAAATTTTTACATCTGTTTGCCTCTCCACAGATCGTGAACAAAATCTACAGTAACGTCCACCTGCCTAAGTTACTGTGTTCCCTGGGAGTGACCCCTTTAGACGCCCCACCCATGGGAAAGTACAATGACAACTACCGAGTCATCGTGGATGGGAAAATCATTGGCAATGTACACTACAGTTTGGCGGAAAGCGTGGCACAAAAAATTCGGGTCATGAAAGTTGAAGGTCTTAACAAGGTTGGTACACATATCCTCACTGGGTTTAGGGTGTGTAAGACAAAGTCTGTACACTTTATAAGAAAACATAAATGTTTCATAAGAAAACATCAGTGTTTTGATTATACTTCTAAATGAAGGATATGCAGTTTACTATCCCTGTCTGTCTGCAAACTAATGCCACTACATTCACATATGAACTGTTTAGTTAAATAATGTAATGATGCAGTTTGCATTAAGTGTTACATAACAATACATGTTGACTTATCGTTTTTATTCACTTCACTATCTCTATGTCATCCATGACGGATCTGGTCGCCACTAGATGGTAGCCCTTTAACATTATCTTCAATTCAACAGCCCGCTGTCAGTCACCGCACAGTGTTACCCAAACCATAAGATTTGACCTCAGATGTTATATATACTTTTGACCAAAGTGCTGCTCTCTATTGATACTCACTATCTTACATGTTATAAGATGATTGCAATCTTTATCATTAATTGCCTAATTTACAGCCCAATTTGATTCAAAAGGTAAAGCAGAGAATCTGATACCCTATTGATACTATGGTATCAGAGGTACTGAACTAGTTCAGGAAGATTCTCTAAACATAGCTACATGTTTAACATGTAAGGCACCATATAATATAAACATCTTTATTTTCACAAGTCAGAACTTAGGTGATTTTACTAAGACGGGAAAAATTGTGGTATCTGCTTTTCAGTGAGTTCAAAATTGCAGCATTTAAAATGTTTTATAGTCAATCTGTCATTATTACTGTAATGAAAATACTATAACTGATTCATCAAACATGTAGGCATACAATTGTGCTTCATGTTCAGTGAAAATGGTGTTTATTTGTGCTTTCTTTTTAGTTTATTTATTCTTATATTTCTAGTGTTTTGGTTTGGTCAGTTATAGTACACGCCAGCTCGATAAGCTGTTCGTTTTCACAGAAAAGCTGTTGCTATACGAATATCACTGAAATAAGATCCATGCAATAAAAGAATATCTTAACAGTATCCTAAATGTGCTCTACGTTTGTTCTCGTAAAGGATATAATTGATGTTTAATCATTGTGCTATTGACATCACAGACTTTGAAATATTAAAGTTATCTTTAGTAGGCATTGCGAATGACTTAGCTAACATTTTGTTATCAGTAATATTTATTAACCATGAGGATATTTTAGTTGAAGAGAAGCTGTAGTAATTTTAATTGACACATTCTGATGATAACGCTTGCCCGACCTTACGTTACAGGTACCCCCGGTGACAGAGATCGGGTTTGTGCCTCGCACCGAATTTGCCAGTCAATATCCAGGTCTCTTTATCTTTACGTCACCGGCACGGATGGTGCGACCTGTCCGAAACCTAAGTCTCAAGAAAAATGAAATGATTGGCACATTTGAACAAGTCTATATGGACATCAGCTTGAACGATGAGGAAACACACCAGCATCAAAAGGTGTGCACATATTTTTAAAGAATTATTAAAGCCATGCATGTTACACATGGAAATCATCAAAAACATTATTCTTTTTTTGCCTTAAAACATGAAATATTCATCAAAGTAGAATTACAAGTTGTTTTCTAATTTGTCAAAAATCAGGTTATGAAAGATTCAACTAACTAGCTGGTCACTGCTTGTGATTGATTAAAATGTTAACACACCTAAAAACACTGCACTATATAACGTATTACCTTTAGATGCTTCAGAATATTATCAACAATAAAAGACTTGGTCATAACCAAACATGCTTCTACAATGATGTAGTGATGTGGTGTGCTGTTAGAGTAGGTCTTTGTACCAGTGTCAACATTTGCATGGTGAATTTTATAATGTTTGTGTAGAGGGTGACCCACCAGGAGCTCACAGAAATAGCGATGCTGTCGACGGTGGCCTGCCTCACACCTTTCTCCGACTTCAACCAAAGTCCCAGGAACATCTACCAGTGTCAGGTGTGTTCAGTGACTCGCCCTGTTTCCACATTTGACGATTTTTTTCATAAATATCTTTTATGGACAATCAATTTGGAGCGAACTGTCAAATGTTGATACAGAAATTTAATGTCCGACATTCTAAAACATTGCAGGGGTCAGAGATTGAGTTATCAAGGACCTATAACTTTTAAAGTTAATGCAGAATGGTTATTGCAAACTCTCCTTATAATGCTCCATTAATCCATGACGTTACGTTTGAATTTTAAAAATCTGTGAAAACCAGACATATACAATTGTGTTCCGAGTTGTTGAAATGTACATTTTCTGGTGTGAAGATGGGTAAACAGACAATGGGTACTCCCGGTCACGCCCTGGGTCATAGGGCAGACAACAAGCTGTACAGAATACAGACTCCTCAGTCACCAATGGTCCGCCCCTACATGTACGACTATTACAACGTTGACGAGTACCCTGTAGGAACTAACGCTGTGGTGGCCGTCATCTCTTACACTGTAAGTATTCTTAACCCTTATATCAAGTCAGTAATTGGATCAATTAAATAGGATGTAGGGTGAAGGTTATTTATAGTTACATATTAAGATAATTTTCTTCCAGTAAACACTAATAATCTGACAGCTGTTACAACAATACGCAAAAACACTGGTGGGTCATTTTTTACTGCACATCTGATGAGCTTGAACTACTTGCGATCGGTAGATATCAATTTCACGAAGAATTTGAAATTGCAGTCATTTCGGTCCATATTTACTATTCTTACACTCAACAAAGTTGGCATTTTACTGATTTACCTTCACATAAGAAGTATACATGCTCCTGTTATGTGACCGTGTGATAACCAAATCATTTGACTTTCAACCTAAAAACCATATATTGGTCATAATTTGATATTTTTAGCTGAACTCATACAAGGGACGTAGCTCATTGCATTATTGTAATTGTGTATCATTTATTACCCTATTTCTGATTAAAAATGGAATGAACTTTTTGCCAGTTCAAAAATATTTATTTCTTGGGGCGTCGGTGTTCTTTAGTTTATCTATTATAGCTAACTCACCTCACCCAGTCAAATGGCTAATTATACAGCTTGACAGAGAAAGGGATCAAAAATGTTTAAATCAAACGGTTCCTTTGCACTTCTACATTCTACTTACCAGGGGTATGACATGTAGGACGCCATGATTCTGAACAAGTCATCGTTTGAGAGGGGCTTTGGACACGCAACAATTCACAAAGCAGAGGTGACTTAAAACTACATTACATTCTACAACTACAGTTTCTAGTAGATTGTACTTTCTACCTTAACCCTTTCACCCCTATGTAACTTTCGTAGGCTCGACTACGCAATGATATGGATGAGTCCATTGTAGTCTGCACTGGTGAAAGGGTTAATCAACCTGTTAGGACTGTATTATCCCAGTTGTGAGGAATATTTGGTAAATTTGATTCTATGATAATTTGGTTCTATCTACTAGGAGTAGACACATACCTGGTAAATTACCTGTTCTGGTGTTCATAAGCTGCTGTACAGCTCTTTCAGTGATATCAACTTGGAATAGGATATGTACTATAATGAAATCAATTCTTAGTTTCTCTTAACTGATACTGAAACATGTAGGCATGAATGTCCAAGTAGAACTTTGGTGTGAGGATTGAAAAAGCTTTTTCAGATTATAGTCATCTTGTAATAAAAAAAAATTGTGGTTACATGTTCACGATTTCATTGCACAAAATGCACAGCTATTTGAATGCGTTTCTTTTCAATGTATTACACTGCAGATCTGTGTTTTCAATGTAATACTCTATATACTGTACATGTAGTGTATTCTCTGTGTATTACATTAAATTGTACACTGTAACAGATCTATTGATGTGTTAAATGGTTTTATAATGCTACAGATAATAAGTTTGGCAGCCAAAGACAATTCAAGCCGTGGCCAGAATTCAAATCTCGTCTTTGGTGAGTGATCTGATAAATTTTATTAATATACAGCTTTTCTTTACTTTGTATTCCCAGCTTAAAGCTGTAAATGTATCCACAATATTAATAGCATGGTTAAAGTTGAAAAACTTTGCAACATTGTGTTAAAAATTCTCATTATTGGAAGAAATAACTAAGTCTTCTACCATACATCGATTTCGAGAACAACACAGTTTAACATTGCATTTCAAGGGAGCCAGAAGTATTTTCATACGTTTTACCATAATATGTACTCTGCAGAACTGAATTTCAAAGTTCACCTAACAGCCTTTGAAAAAAAATCCTGGCAACAACCATTCAAGATATTATTAGATTTCTTTTATTGAAGCAACAGAATTTTTGATATTTTACAATATTTTTCAGGCTGTAAAGGAGCAGATATGAAGCGCATAGAGGGCAAATTGGACAGTGACGGCCTACCCAATATTGGAGCTTATCTACAGGAAGGGGACCCCTACTACAGGTACAGTGGAGTACTGTAAAATAAAAAAAAGTATATTTCGTGGATAACAAAAATCCACAAAATTAAATCCCCACGAAGAAAACATAAATTTGGTATGATATAGATAGGGGAAAATCAGAAATCAGTGAAATATAATGTCTTTGAAGCAGGCTAGTATATGAAAACCACGTAATTTTAACCCCACGAAAAAAATGATTCTACAGTACTTAGGAGTCTTATGATGTTTATTGCTATGTAAACTTGTGTTTAACTTCGATCACAAATTTAAGTACAACATGAATAATTATATGTAACATGAGATATACACAAAGAGTGAATGCAAAATTAACATCTCGGAAATAAGGACAGGAAGGTCAGTTTAAGAAGGTCAGAAAATTAAACTTGAGCCATATATAAAAACTTGGTAATGTATTTTTAAACATGAATGCATTCTTCATGGGAACATTGGAGTTTTACATTGACAGGGACTATAAAAACTTGTTAAAATGACTTTCTGGAGACCCAAACAAGTTTGCTGTTTAGTTTATATTGATGGTGTTAGCAACAAGAGGCCCAACAAGAGGCCCAATCTTAAGATTTCATAAGAACCTATTAAAAGATTTAAACATATGACGCCTCTGACCTTGATTGTTGAACAAGGACATTAGGTTGAAAGTGGATCAAGGTCATTCATTTGAACTAACATGGTAGTCCTTCATCCCAGCATGCTACAGGCCCAATTTCAGTACCCTGGCCCTTTTGCTTATTGAAAAGAAGTCGCTTGAAGATTTTACGACATTTGACCCTGTGACCTTGAAAGTTGGTCAAG